AACTCGAATCATCATACTATCTCTTCCTCCCTCTCTCTCTCTCTCTCTCTCATCAGTGATTTTTCCAAATAGATGATTAAAATCGGCACTAATATGGAAAAGGCTTACAGCACTGGCAGAGTGTGTGTTAAAGAGAACTGTATGCTAGAATTGGATCCAGGTACAATTCATGATAGAAAGCTATATATTTGAACCACACGATAAAATGCTGTTTGTATAGATCTATATAAAATAATGGCCGATTCGAAGGACTATGATGAATTATTGGAGACGTGGGTTAACTGGAGGAACGCCACGGGCAAGAAAATGCGCAAAGACTACATCAGTTACGTTGGTTTTGTCAATAAGGCGGCCAAACTCAATGAATTACCCAATAGAAGTATGTATTAAAATATATAGTTTTATTATCTGAGCATAACTTATATGTAACTTCTGTTATAAACACCAGAGTTTGAAACATTTGACGATCTGTGGCTCTTCTCGTGGGAAACGCCGGACATTAAGAACCAAACGGAGAGTCTATTGAATGAATTGATGCCTTTCTATCGCAAACTTCACGCATATGTGAGGAAACATCTGAAGAAAGCATATCCCGGAAAAATACCTAAAGACGGGACAATACCGGCCCATATATTGGGCAATATGTGGGCACAACAGTGGAGTAATACCATGAAAACCGTTCCCGGAGTGGATCCATATCCGAAAATCGCTACCATTGATGTTACAAAAGAATTATTAAAACAGGTAAATAAAAATTCATTATGTTTAAATAATATTAATGTTGTTATAATCATGATTGTATTGTTGGGACAGAACTATACGGCTAAACGTATGTTTGAAATGGGAGACAAATTCTTCCAGGATTTGGGTCTTCAGAAATTAACGGATAAGTTCTGGGAAATGTCTATTTTGGAGAAGATTCCCAATAAAGAGATGGTCTGGTAAGTCATTAACATCAATGTAAAGTTTTTATAATAGTTTTACCATGTTTATTATTGGAATTAATATTAATTATTGGTCTCATAATGATATAACCAAAGTCACGCCTCTGCCTGGGATTTTAGCTCCGAAGCTAAGGATGATTACCGGTATTGTTTTCAATTATTTTGTTAGTAATTAAATTTGTTTAATAAATAATCATCAATTATCTAATTTATACAAATAGGATTAAAATGTGCACAAATATCAACATGGTCGATTTTATCACAATACACCACGAGTTGGGACACATCCAGTATTACATGCAATACGCCGACAAACCGGCGTCCTTTCGGGAAGGCGCTAATCCGGGTTAGGATTAAACATATGTTGACTAAACATGGTCGATTTTATCACAATACACCACGAGTTGGGACACATCCAGTATTACATGCAATACGCCGACAAACCGGCGTCCTTTCGGGAAGGCGCTAATCCGGGTTAGGATTAAACATATGTTGACTCAAAAATTTCTAACAATTGCATTGCATTTGTTTCAGGCTTTCACGAGGCTATCGGCGATCTGTTGGCTCTGTCGGTGTCGACACCGAAACACTTGCAAAAAGTGAAACTATTGAAAATCGATGAATCGGTAGATCTCAAGAAAATCACCATAAAATACCAGATGAAGATGGCGTTGGATAAGCTGGCGGTGTTACCATGGGCTTTTCTCGTCGACAAGTGGCGGTGGGATGTGATGTCGGGTGAGGCCAACATCAATCATATCAACAAACGGTGGTGGGAATTGAGGGGCAAATATCAGGGCGTATCGCCGCCCGTCAAGCGCAGCGAAAGCGATCTCGATCCCGGCGCTAAATATCATATACCCTTTTGCGTTGAGTATATCAGGTATTGATTTCAATGATTTAATACATGGTTATATTGTGTTTAACACATTAACAATTATATCACCAGATATTTTGTGTCACATGTACTGCAGTTTCAGTTTCACAAAGCGTTGTGTAGTTTCAGCCAAAAGGATGTCCCGCTCTATGAGTGCGATATCGATGGCGACAAAGAGGCCGGCGATAAGTTGAAGTCTGTTTTTACCAATATGTTATAATTAATGGCAATGAATCCTAAGAAATCAATTGTTTTGATAGAAATATGTTAACATATGGTTCGTCGGAGTTATGGCCACTACAGCTCAAACAGATGACCGGCACCGAGAAGATGGACGTTCAGCCGCTGCTCGAGTACTTCCAACCATTGCAAGAGTTTTTGGACAATGAGTTAAAGGGAGAGAAAATTGGATGGGATTTCAATGGTATATGACTTTTAATATTATTAATTTGTATTGTGTTTNGATGGGATTTCAATGGTATATGACTTTTAATATTATTAATTTGTATTGTGTTTAGAAATTAATTTATAATTGTGTATACATAATATATAATTATTAATTATGATCAATTTAAACTTGACAATTATTAGAAATACTGTGTAAAAATTAACAAGTTATTAATTGTTTGTTTCGTTTAGTTGAAGACTATTTCGATAATTCTCTCACATTTTTCAACACTTTGGATACTAATAAGAAGCGGAAATCGGCACACGTTTGACACCCATTAGATCTGTCCACCAATTAATACACAAATATTTGTTGATTTATTATTTAGTAAAATTTACCACCAATTTTAAAATGGTTTTTGTGATTATTTTTAATTAATGTTTTATAAATATAATAAATGTTAGCGTATTTATAAATGAACTCGATAGATTATAATTATTTGTATGTTATATTGTGTAATAATATTTTTAAATTAATTTTCCAATACTCGTGTTCCTAATAATGTGTTGGAAATTTCCTTTAAAAATCATGTTTTCCGGTTTATGTTTCCCTTTTAAAGTAATATAAGTTTCAAACAATTTATTAAAATTATCTCATTATATATTAATAAAACAAATTAAAAATAAATTTAAACTTGAGAAAAATTTACACAAATTAATTTTAAAATAATAAATGAACAATAATTTAAAATTCACAATCTTTCTGGTTGAGTCAGAGTTGAGGAAAATTCTTGGTTCAAAATATTTCCAGAATATGACTAAACCTAAAAATGCATTCATTTTGAGTTTAAAATTAACACTTTTTGCTATACACTCAGAGCTGTGGAAAATTCTTGGTTCAAAATATTTCCAGAATATGACTAAACCTAAAAATGCATTCATTTTGAGTTTAAAATTAACACTTTTTGCTATACACTCAGAGCTGTGGAAAATTTAGGGTTTAAAAGATTTCCAGAATATGACTGAACCTAAAAAAGCATTCATTTTTAATTTAAAATTAAACACTTTTTGCTATACACTCAGAGCTGTGGAAAATTTAGGGTTTAAAAGATTTCCAGAATATGACTGAACCTAAAAAGCATTCATTTTTAGTTGAAATTAAACACTTTTTGGTGTACTGTTAGAGTTGAGGAAAATTCTTAGTTCAAATATTTTCCAGAATATGACTGAACCTCAAAATAGTGTCGGTAAATTGGACAATTTTCATTCACGCTCACTCACGTTCACGACAAAAATTTTCACGCTCTGAGTGTATAGCAAAAAGTGTTAATTTTAAACTCAAAATGAATGCATTTTTAGGTTTAGTCATATT